GCTCTTGAAGCTATCAGTGACCTTTTTTTTGCCCTGTCATCCCATGCAAGAGGCTGAGTGGGAGAAGCAGGAGAAGGCTGGCTTGGGCTGTCCCTCTGCCTGCAAGGTGACATGGCTCTGTGGCTCAGGCCTTGTTAAGATTGTCCTCTTTCTGTCTTCCTTCCCAACAGGCCTGGAAGCCCCAGGAAAACAACACATCTGCCCTTTCTGCTTTGTAGCTCTGAATTTAGGGCAGAATCTGGCACGGACTCCACTTAGGGTCAAGTTGAGGCTTGGTACATATTTATCCAATTGTGTTGGCATCAAGGGTCCTGCATTCAAATATTGTACTGATTTTGTGGCACTGGGCAAATGATTTGTAACAAATGAGAAGATAAGTTTTTCTGAACTGTAAAACCTGCTGCATTGGATTAAACATGGTACCATGGAAAAGGGCTCCTCAGAGACCTCCATCAGTGGTAGTTCCCTTTTCTTTCTGTGTGAGGAAATCCCAGCCCACCTCCTGGTGTGGAAGCCACTCTCACGCCCACAATGGATGTGGAGCACCTCATCCATTCTCAACCAGCTGCAGAGCCAGGAGTTGAGAGGTCATAACAGAGTTAAGGGCTCTTTTTTGAGTATCACAGAGGATCATGCCCTTCATTGTGAGGGAATTGCCTGAAATGACTTTTCATTTTCATTTGGAAATCCTGGGGCTGGAGAGGAGCTTGCGTTCATCCTTTAAGCATTTTCAGTACATATGCGAGTCACAAGGGAAGCAGCTGCATAAAGGCAGTGACAAAGTACCTGGCTTGGAGACACCCTGTTTGTTTGTTTAATTATAGGTAAGCATTGCCAAGGATTATGAGGAAACTTCCAGAAATTTGGATATATCCATTATATTGATTATACAGAGAGGATGGCTGTGGTGATTGTAAACCTCAGTATGTTCACTTTATGGCATGTCAGTTGTACCTCAGGGAAGCTGTTTGACAGAAGAGTCACTGGGACAGTTGTAGTGGTGGGAGCTTCTTTTCCATCCATTCTGCTGAAACTTTTCTGATTCAGGGTTCAATGACCCTTCTCTTGCCTAATCCAGTACTTTGTCTTCTTGGTTTGCTCATCTTCTCATGAGCACTTGACTTCACTGAACATCTCTTCGTTTTAAAAATGCTTTCTTTTCGTGGACCCTAGCAGCATTCTTTTTGTTTCTGCCTGCTGCCACATGTGGGTCCAGTTCCTCCACCAGCCCTCGCCTGTCAGTCTTGTTTTTCTGCCTTTTTCCTCTCTGTTCACACCTCCAGGGTTATCCCGACTTGTCCTGCATTTTCTAGCTTCAGCACCCGTAGAATTTTCAATGACCACGGAAATACACTCCATCTGTGTTGTCCAAAGTGGTAGCCACTGGCCATATGTGGCTATGGAGTGCTTGAAGGGTAGCTACTGTGACTAACAAAATATATGCTAAGTGTTAATTTGTTCTAACTAATTTCAGTTTCAGTCACCACATGTGGTTAGTGGTTGCTGTAGTCAGTAGTTTAGGTCTGGACCATTGTGTTTACAAACTCTAGATGTGAATTCCAGTAGCTGGTCTTGACCTGTATTATTTCAAAATAAGATAGGAGAGCTATATTTTCTTCATGAAACTTTTATTTCAGGCTTGTGTCTCTGTAAGTCACATGAATATAATTGTTTGTCATGTTGTTAAGCTGAAAGCCTCTGATCAGGATGCTGGTGATGTCTATGCTGTCTCCAGGAAGCAGCTGTAACTCCAAGTCGTAGTTATCTGCCTTCTTGTCATCTCGTCACAAATCTGTAAATTGTTGCTTTTCTCTTTGGTTGTCCCCATCTGTTCAGCAAATGATGCCACTTTACCAGCTAGTTGTGAGGAGCAGTATGACTTTCATTCCCTTCTTTCCTGCCCCACTCTCAGCTGCCCCTTCCTTCCACAGTCCCCCCAGCAGCAAGGTCTCTTGGCTCTGCCACTCTGGTTTCCATCCACATCTCTCACCTGCACCACTGCAGTAGCTCCAGTCTTTACAAGATCCATGCATCATACTGCAGCCAAAGGACTCTTAATAACACGAATCAGGTGATACTGCTGTGACATCAAGCTTCCAGGGTCTTCCCATTGCCCGGATAGCTGTCTATCATCAACTCACTGTGGCCTACGGAGCCTTAATAGTCTCACCCAGTACCTCTAGCATCGCCCCACCTGCTCACCCTTGCTTTTCTTGGCTATGGCCCCCATTTCCTGGCTTGCTTTTCTGCAGGGCTCTGCTTGTATGCTGCCAGCTGGATGTCCAGGACTTTTCCACACTGGCCTGTGTTAAATCAGCATTCAACTCAGAGGTCATTTCCTCAAAAGAGTGACCCTGTCTGATGAAATCAGTGTAACTCATCCAAGGCTGAGTGATTTGTTTTGGAAGTAATGATATATGTCGTTACTGCTTTCTAATGCTTTTGAGTAATATAAACCAAGAGTTATCAAAGTATTTTTGATTAGAGATCCTTGAATCTCTAATTGAAGATTCTAAGATTGAATCTTCCTCAACAATCATCTGTAATCAACAGAATCCTTCTGTTTAAGTGGCATTGCCAAGATTCTATATGAAAAATAAATATTGGTTGTGCTATTTTTTAACCTCTCAGCTGAGCACCCAAGTATGCAAATTTAACTGTTTGTGCACAAAACAGTATATTAAGATACTGACATGTAAATTATGATGAAATAAAATTTAAATGAGAGTTTTGCATTACTGTGAATACATCATAAGCACAAGGCAAATTTTATCATTTATTTAAACTTTCTAATTTTTGAGATTTATGCACATAATAACCAAAGTTTTGAGAATATTTGGATTTTATTTAAATACCAAATCATTTTTGTTTTGAAGAAAAAGGTCTATGTTTTGTTTTGTTTTTTGATTTTTGAGATAGGGTCTCATTATGTAGTGTAGGCTGGCCTTAAACTCACAGTGATCTTTCTACCTTAGCCTCCAAAATGCTGGGATTACAGGCATACACCACCACACCTGTTTTTTATTTGTTTGTTTGTTTGTTTGGCAGGCCTGGAGATTGAACCTAGGACTTCGTGCATGCTATGCAAATAAAGTACCAGAGTTAATAAACAAAATAGGTTACAAGATTTGTGATTCTGACCTTGGTTTAAAAAAAGAAAGAAAGCAAAATTATAGGCAAATGCTGAAACTCTTTACCATAGTCATATGGATAACAGATTCCAAAAACAACAAACTTGAAACTATATGTACAAAATACTCTATATTGGTTAAATCACATAGTAAAAGGGGCAATAGGAAATCCATTTAACTTTTCACAATGAATATTAAATATAAGAAAATGTGGCATAATTTTGTCTTAACAAAATTCTTCACATTAGATAGTGTTCAAAGAAAATTGAAATAAGGCCTCCATTTTACTTGACTTCTATTCCATTCTGTCCAAGGTCAGAAATGGTAGTGATTAAAACATTTGCATTCTTTGACCCATTTCTGGGATAGCTATCAAAAGGGAATAATTTAAACTTTGAACAAAGAATTATACATACACATGTTGCATCATTGTTTATAAGTTTAGAATGCCAGGAACCATTTAGAAATCTAGAGAAATTAAGCAGAGTGAACAAAATCCATATAATAAAGCATTGTATAACCATTAACATAATTTTCAGGAAAACTGTAACTTGTGAAAAAGCTTCTGACATCATGCTGAGTGAGGAAAAAAATGATATAGTTATACAGTATGATCTTAATTAGGTAAAAACAATATCCATAGTAGAAAATTCTAAGAAATACATTGTAACTGGCTTATGTTTTCCAAGCATTTTAGGAAGAAAAAAGCATGTATTTTATAATAGCCAAAAGGCTATTAAAGAAGCAAATTATGATGATGTACAAAAATCAATTATTTAAGCTCACTGTTTTAGAACTGGAAATCAGTACAGGGGTTTTACCTGCGGTGATCCTGATATGGTTAGTTTTCTTCCTCACTGTTATTTGCTAATCAGAAAGTCAGGATGGCTGTCAGCTTTGTCTTTCATATATAAAAAAATAGGATGAGGAAGTTACTGTTACTTAATAAATGTGACTTAACAATAGCCAAACATTTTAAAAGTGACTTAGCCGATTTCTGATGGCATAAAGTAGAGAATATTCTAGAGGTTCTTCAGTTTTTGGGTTCTGATGCATTTATGAAATCATTGTAGAAAATGAAATTAATAGAATAAAAATATTCCTTTGTAAATGAAATTAGTAGAATAAAAAAATCACAACTCATCGCAAGTGGTAAATATTCTGTAAATTTTAATTTTGACATGTGCAGGTACTAAAAATCATAACATAAATGTGATTTTGTTTTGTTTTGGCTTTTTTTATGGTTTTCAGCCAAAACATATGCATAGACTCTTCATGTGATCTGGACTAGTGATTCTCAATTTGCTCCTGGGACCATAGACATCAGCAGTACCTGGGAGGCAGTCAGAAACTCGGACCCCACACCCATCCGTGAACCAGACACCAGGGCGGGGGGGGGGTGTCCAACACTGTGGTTTCATAAGGAACTACTTGAAGAAGCACTAGTTAGGCAAGCCTTGCTCTTTCGAGAAAAGCCTGGAGACAACGCTGGTACCACCTGTGACCTAGTTAGAAATTTGGAATCTAAGCCCCCAATCTAGACCTACTCAGTCAGAATCTTATGCAGATAATCCATATGCTGGCAGCCAGACTGAGGAGTGCTGAAGCCACCCATCTGTCACAGGTCATGTAGGGAGGGAAAGTGGTCTGCCTTCCTTCCCAAGGACTGTAGAGCAGAGAGATTGCATTGCTGTGACATTTAAGGACTCATTTGTTTAAAAATTTCCTGTGTTAGACCAGTTAAGGTTAATGTACCCAATCAAATTCATCAACTAAGATTAATTGCAGTTAGCACCAATTACTTTAAGCAGACTTGAAACACAAATTTTATTTGTGACACTTCGTATTAACTTGTTTGATCTCTTTTAGGAATTTATCAAAGAGCTGCTGTCTCGGATAAGAGGTATGAGGAAACTGAGCCCTCCACAGAAGAAGAATGTATGATTCTGAACATGGTGGATTCTGTCAAAGATAAAGAAAGGCCCTGCAATGTAGACTTCATGAAGACTTTTATTAAACAATAGTCATTCTTATGAAAAACGTTTTGTTGGGGTGTGGGGAGGGACTCTTATTAGACATTTATTCAAGAGTGTTCTTTTTTGTCGTTTTTTAAAAGGCTTTTATTAGTGTAATATTTTAATAGAAAAGATATCATAACTCTGACTGCAGTCCAACCACGGATAATTAAAGCAGGTGGACATACAAGGATAGGCCGGGCCAGGCTGTTTTCTGCAAAGACTCAGATATTTAGGACCTTATTATACAGGGAAGATGGTTTTCTTACAAGCAGTTTGGTAATAATTTTTCTCAAGTTGTACATTTGACTCAGATGTCTAGCTTCTTGTACTTGTATATATCTACACACAACTAAGTTAAAATGTAGATGTGAGTTTTATTTCATCTTGATGGAATAAGCTTGTGATCATTCTTTCATGGAAGGTCACAGCACATGGGTTTTTCAAGAGGCCATGAGGCATTCTTCATGTGAATGCTGTTGACCTTCAACATTTACTTTCTGTACCAAAGTGAAATGAGCTACACTACAAAAATGTTGAGTTGGTCAAGGGCTTAATTTCTGAACTTTCTGTTGTTTCATTGGTTGGGATGCTTTGCCAGATCATTTTTGCCTCATTTGTGATTGTTTAAAGTTTTATGAACCCTTAATTTGAAGAACTAACATGATTTCTAGAGAAATGCCCATGCTATCTGGATGGTATTTTACAATGGAAAAAGCAGTGAATTTTCTGCTTTCAGCCAAATACTGTATATTATTTTTTCTCCACACAAGCAGGTCAGAAGTTAGTGGACTGAGCGTGTTCCTCCTTAAAAGTAGATTCTGGTTCCTTCTGCACTTGGGTAGCATCAGAGTGGGAGTATGAACTGAATGTTGCACAAGTACAGAGATAAAAAGACATCATCTTTTCCTGCAAGTTGATACAGCAGGGTTGCAGGTTTAGCAACACGGTTGAATTTTAGCTTCTCTCAGTGGCTCATGGGGAGGATTTGTGGAGTACCTGGCCCTAATTTTGACCTTGCTCTCCATGCTTGAAGCTAGGCCTAACACCTGCCCTGCCCCATTAGATACCAGCTCTCTGGAGAAGAATTCAAATTCAGATGGCATGGCAGGGTGGTTGTGGGTTGAGGGGATGAGAGGAGAAACTCTTCCTGCCCTATAGGAGGTCCCTGCTGCCTCCTCATGGAAACCCCACCTACTGTAAGATGTCTCCAGGTGGTCCTGTCAGAGGACAGGAACTGGGCATTTTATATCAAGGGTGCTCTGAACATATTTTATTTTTTAAGAAAACTATGTTTGTGAATTTTATGTATACTGGCAAGCTTTTGAAAATGTATTTAATTTTGTAATGTTTACCAATGATTTATTTACAAGCTATTTACTCAAATAAATGGAGCTGCTTACAAACCTGTTTCCATGTATGCCTTGCAGAACATATTAATGTAATAACTTCCTTTATTAATTTCTCTGCAGATGAGGGTACCAAGCACTCTTGTACCTAGCCTTTCATTTTCAAAACACCTGCAAGCATTTAATCTTGGTCCTCTTCTGAGCCATCTTCAGACCTGGTGGCAGCCATGGACATGTTCTTGGGCTGAGCAAGGAACAAGAGAACAAAACATACTTAGGTCCACATGTGTGCTTTTCCTTAAAACTCTATTTTTCCTGTCTGATAGAAATCCTCAAGGTTTCAAATGAACAAGATATTCCAATTATTACTAGAATATCATGCACTGAATAAATCAGAAACAAAATTTTCAGGATTTTTCCTGGGCTTGACCAGTGCAAGTTATGGTCTTCAGATGAAGCCAGTGTTAACATTTCCCCTGAAGGCTCTGATCCCCTCATATACCTGTCTTGCCTCCTTTCCTTCCCTTTCTTGCTTGGCAGACATCACCTGACCCCCTTGAATGCTCCCACTCGAGGCTTGGCCTCTTCCTTGACTCCTGTCCTCCCCAGCTGGCCCTAGTCATCAGGCATGTCCTCTTCTAACACCTCTCAAGTTTGTTGCATGTTAAACTTCTCTTGGTTGCTGTAGGCACCTTGGAGTTGTCTTCTGCAACTCTACCTCGGTCTCTCTCTGCTCCCCTCTTCACCTCTTAGCCAGAATGATCTGACTGTTCCACCTCCTGCTTAAAACCCATCCCTGCCTACCTTCTGAGGAACTCGTTCTGGCTGTCCTTCTTCATCTTTTAGACTTGTTCTTGTACTCAGTCTCACTGAATTCACTGGGTTATCTGGAGCACTCTGTGAGTTTTCTTCTCTGGGGTTTTGTTTAACCTGTTGCTTCTGTGTGAAGCACCTTCTCCACCAGCAGGCTGGAGCAGATCCTCCCCAAAAATCAAGAACATCTCCGACATCTTGATCTTCCCCAACATCTGTGGTATTTTCCCCCTATGAACACACACCTACACTGGTGTTAAACCTGCCTGCTTGTAGGTTTCTGTCAGCTTGTAGGAATCTTAAATTTGAAGCCATGACTTAATCCAGCATCTGGTCCTATGCTTGGTCCCTGTCAAAGAGATCAATATGTTTTTTCCAGTGGAAGGAATATGATATATATTCTTCAAGAAAACAGTTTACTTCTCAGCTAGGGTGGTAGTTCTCAGATCTGAATGAACATTTGAGCAATTGAGGCCCCGAACCTCAGTCTGTTCTGATCAGTAATACCGGAATCTCTAGGACCAGAAGCTGGGATATTCTTTTTGAGCTCCCTAGGTTGAACACTGCTGGCCCCTCTGGTCATTTTTGTGTGGTCTGATTCACTGGTTTGAGCTCATCTCTCCATATTTGTACTGGTAACAACACGTGGCAGCTATGACATAAATTCATTGGATTTAGCGCTATGGTTTATTCTCATTCAGAGGTTCTCATCACTAGGAACTGGGTCCAAAGTAGTAGTTCACTGCTCAAACATTGGGAAATCTAAGTTTAAACTTGATGAAGTGCTTCCTTTGATAACAGTCATAACAAAAACACTGTTAAATGTTTACATGGCTTATCTCATTTAATCCTGACTTTAATCTTATGATAGGTTACATTATCCTCATTTTATAGATGATAAAAAAAACCCTCAGTGTTTAGCACCTGAGGTCACATAGTTACAAAGCTGAGACACAAAACCAAGCCTGTATGACTCCACACCCCAGAAGCACTAAGATTTCCTGAATCTTTTCCCTCAGTCTCACTGACAAAAATGAAACCCCAGATCTGCATCTAAATTGATTCAGGTTCCTGAATCAGTGGATAAGAGTGGTAGATTTGTAAATGAAGGGATGCCGCAGTCACATACAGGGTTCTTCCATGCTCCCAAGAACAAGAGAGTCCTCCCCTGCTGTGTAGTCGGGCCCCAAGCTTCTGCCCCTCAGTTGCCATCCCCTTCCCTTTGCCCTGAGACAATGTCCCGGGACTGAGGCCTAGCAGCTGGGTATGGAGAATTCCAGCCATTTTCAAATTGGACAGTATTTTCTGCCACTGGTCTTTCTTCATTTGAATTCCTTCCAACCCAAATGACACTCAAGTGTTATTAAAAACTAGCTTGGTGGGACCACCTGCTTCTAGAATCCCACCAGAACATGGTGAGCTCAAGGAAAGCCACTCAGCCCATTTCATTTAACACTATAGGCACCTGATTATTAATAGACACCAGACTATAGAAAACTCCTTGAGGAGTCTAAAAGGGAAGGAAATGTGCCAAAATTAGCTCTAGCCTTATTGATCTGTTTGACCCAGCCAAAAGGCCAGCAATGACCTAATTTGCAGCTTGTTGAGAATCAGTGCTGTATTGAGATGTCTGTATGGTGTGCAGATGTACAGAGTGAAGGAGGAGGAAGACAGTATAGTCTTAAAAATAACACCCTGAAAGGTGTGGTGGATTGTGCCAGTAATCCCAGCACTAGGGAGGCTGGGGCAGGAAGATCAATGCACGTTTGAGGGCAGCCTGGGCTATAGTGAGTTCAAGGCCAGTCTGAAATGCCTAGTGAAACTCTAACTCAAAAAAAAAAAAAAGTACACTCTGAGGAAAATTACATCAGTCAACAAGAGCATTCATGGAAGCATTCATGGTAGTATCAGAAGTATCAAAATGTTTTTAAAAAGCAAAGCTCTTTTAGCATTTGTTTCTGAGTAGGAGTGAGAGGAAACTCCACAGAGCCTAGATGGCACTGTTCTAGTAAATATCAAGAGGAAAAAGAAAGGTAAACTTCCAGCAAAGTTGCTACATAGGCTTGATCCTGTTTCTATATGTTAGGAGTCAAGTGGAAGGACTCAGTTGTCTGGAGTCAATTTCTGAAGGGATCGCTCACTTCCGTGAATGCCTTGTGGCTAAAGGCTGCCTTTGTTCCAGACCATCTTTTCAACAATGTTAACATGTGTAGCAAACATCTTTGGAGGCAAGAGAGAATGGCTCCTTCCAGAGCAAAAGGCAAACATGTTTATTGCCCATTATAAAAGGTTTGGGTTCCCTAAGCTCAGAGTTCCATCTCGGAATGCGACCCCACTACACGGGCAGGTGTCATTTGACTGTCTTTACAACACTGTGGCAACTGAGATTTCCAAAATCTTGACAGTAAAAGCAGCACCCCCCCCAAAGCCACTACTCCAGCTATTATTAGAGTAATAAACTTTCTCTTTATTCAGGAGTGTTGAGAGTCTTCCAACAGCTTCTGTGATCGGCTGTGAGCTTTTAGCAGGGTAAAATCTCAGAGACCCCATGCAAGTCTTAACAATAGTCTTCTTAGTCTCTTTCAATATGATTTGTATCATTCTTACATTAATAGAATCTTTCCAGTACTCAGACTCTAACTTCATTAATCATTTTCAATTACATAGGATCAGAAATTTTTCTTTAAAGTGCTTTCATGCCTGGAAATGGTTGTTCTGTGGACAAAATATAATTTCACACAAGCCACTTTCTCTCCCCTTCCTTGTCGCCAACGTGAAGTGAATACTAGCTGGTAGAGGAGAGACACAATGATGGAAGAGAGATACTGTCCTGGGAATTTACAGAAAAATGAGGCCCTAAAGTGAGGTAGAGAAAAGAAGCAAACATAAGTTCCCATTTCAAATGTTTCTCTTTAAAATAAATACACTAAAAACAGATTTATCACAATCCAGCTATGTCACTTTTGAGTGTATATGCAAAAGAAATGAAGTCAGTATACCAAAGAGATACCCACATTATGGCAGTGCTGTTCACAATAGCTAAGTTACAGGATCAGCCGAGGTGCCTATCAATCACTATATGGATTGAAAATGTGGTATATATACACCATGGAGTACTGTTCAGCCGTAAAGAAGTGTGAACTCTTGTCACTTGCAGCAAAATGGATGGGACTGGAGGACATGACACAAGCTAGGCACAGAAAGACGAGGTGTGTGTTCTATCTACATAGGAAAGGAAAAAAAATTGACCTAGAACTGAAATAGTGATTATTAGGAATTGGGAACAGTGCAAGGGAAAGGTTAAGCATGATCTAGGCACACAATAACCATGTGTGTAAATGTCACATGAAACCCTATTAATAATATAGAATAAGAGCATACATGCCTAAATATTACAAATAATATCATTGCTTGACACTTTGATGTTCCCAAACTAAACTCTGGAAGCAGCTTGCTAACTTAATTTATGTGTAGTAACTTGATTTATTTGTAAGATCACGGTGCACCCAGTGTTTACTGAAATAAAAAATAGAAACTGAGCTGAAGAAAAATAAGGTGCTACCAATTGGTTTTGTTCATGGCACTAACATGATCCATAAAGTATAACCCAATACATTTCTGGGTCACAAGTTACTTGAGGGTAAGTGATTTAAGTGATTTATTATTTAGGGTTTTTTTTTCCTGTTAAGAGCAGAAAATTATTCCTTTGGTGCTAATTAAGTATTTTTAAAGGTGCAAACCTCCCTTCTGATAGCTCATGGATAAAGGAAAAATAAGACTATTTGTCTTTTTATAACATTATCTTACAACACGCATGACAGTTCTTGCCCTCTATGGCTATAATCCCGAGAAGGGGGACCAACACGTCTGGGGACCGTAGGACTATATCATCATCACAGAATGACCTGAAAACTTAGTGAATCCTGATTGCTGATGGATGAAGAGTCAAACAAAACCACTTCAAATTGGCTGGAAAAGCTAGCATAATTTTTTGGAAATCTTATTTCTATTTTCCACTTTGCTCCTTTTAGAGCTAAGAACTCCTTCCCCCAAAACCTCTCTATGTTACAATTTTTTCTTTTCTTTTTCTGCTACTTTGAGGTACCTGCCACCATTTTTATAAGCTTCTCAATCATCATCTAGAGCAACATAACTAAACAGCTCTGATAAAGTACAGTAACTGCTATGTATCATAAATATTTTGTATTTATAGAGGTATGCAACAGTGCTGACCTACATCTATA